CTACTACCTACTACTACGACGATGACGACTACTACTACTACTACTACTACTACTACTACCACTACTACTACTACGACTACGACTACGACTACGACGACTACTACTACCACTACTACTACCACGATTACTACTACTACCACTACTACTACTACTACTACTACTACTACTACTACTACTACTACTACTACCGACTACCGACTACCGACTACTACTACTGCTACTACTACTACTACTACTACTACTACTACTACTACTACTACTACTACTACTACGACTGCTACTGCGACTACGACTACGACTACGACTACGACTACGACTACGCACACTACTACTACTACTACTACTACTACTACTACTACTACTACTACTACTACTACTACTACTGCCAAACCCCTGGACCGTACACTACCAGTATTACCAAACCGCTGCGACAACAACAACAACTACTACTAGTACTACTGCCAAACCCGTGCGACTACTACTACTACTACTACTACTACTACTACTACTACTACTACTACTACTACTACTACCACTACTAGTACTATTACGACTACTACTACTACTACTACTACTACTACTACTACTACTACTACTACTACTACTACTACTACTACTGCCACTACTGCCACTACTGCTATTACTGCTCGACGTCCACCGAACAGTCGTACACCGTGCATCCGTGCATGCGGCCCGCCAGGACATACAGTTTGTTTTCCCCCTGGAACCCTGATTTTTATCATCCCCCAGGGATTATTCTCGGGGGCACAGGGTTAGGGCCTCCAGAGTCCCAAAGCGGCCAACGCTTTCCCATAGTGACCCTTCCACGACCCAAACGGGACTTCCACCCTCGGCGCGCCGCCGAAAGAGGAATCTGCGCAACGACGTGAAGGTTGCGCAGCTCATCGGATACGTCGGCGAGCACAGCGCCTACCACCACGGCGAGCAGTCCCTGGCCAGCACCATCGTCACGATGGCGCAGGATTTCGTGGGCTCCAACAACGTCGGCCCCCCAGCGTCCGCCGCTCGTCCCGGGATCTCCGACAGGAGGAGGAGGAGGAAGGGTAGGACGTGTAGGAGGAGGATGTGGAGGAGGAGGAGGACGAGGAGGAGGAGGAGGAGGAGGAGAGGAGGAGGAGGAGGAGGAGGAGGGAGGGCGTGTAGGAGGAAATGCGAAGGAGGAGGAGCGGAGGAGGACGACGACGACGAGGAGGAGGAGGAGGAGAAGGAGGACGTGAAGGAGGAGGGTTTGGAGGAGGAGGAGGAGGAGGTGGAGGAGGAGGAGGAGGAGAAGTAGGAGGAGGAGGGTACGATTATTCAACCAGCGGCTTTCCTCGACGTCTTCGGCCCTCCGGAGGAAGCCGCCGGGGCCTCGAGGGCCGCGGATGGAGCACGCAGTGGAAACCCGTGCCACGCAACACGACGGGAGGTGTTTGGCTACTCTCGGCCTCTGGGGGCCCTCCTCTTCCTCCTCCTCCTCCTCCTCCTCCTCCTCCTCCTCCCTCCTCCTCCTCCTCCTCCTCCTCCTCCTCCTCCACCTCGTCCTCCTCCTCCCCCTCCTCCTCCTCCTCCTCCTCCTCCTCCTCCTCCTCCTCCTCCTCCTCCTCTCCCCCCCTTACCAAACGACTCAGGATGAAGAACTGGTCCCCGAGAAGGGGTCCAGACCTCTGCGGGTCGACGTTGCAAACAAATCACGACGTCGGGGGTCTGGGACCTTGGAGCCCGATGGTGCGGACGAGCTCAGATGCTGCCCGTACATTGGAAACCCATGCCAAGGAACACCCTGCCTGCCTCCAGGGTGCCCTGGGGCTCTTGGGCTTCAACGGTTCTGCGATGGAAAGCGTGACGCTCCCACACCGAAAATCCACGGACGTCCTGGGGCTCTGGGGTTGGGCTTCTTGTGGGAGGTTTCTTCTTGTCGAGCTCCTACTGTATGTTCATGTAAATCTCGAGACTGCTTCGAGAGCCCCCTCCCCCCTGGGACAGGCGCCCCCGCCTGCGGAACGGCCTTGTTGTGTGGACCGCTTCCCGCCTGCCAAGAGGAGGAGGGAGGGGACCGCTTCGGCGGATGTCAGGGGCGCCGGACCGCGCGCCCCGGCGAGCGGTCTGGGCGGGGTCGCCGTCATCGTCGGTGCCGCGCCTGGGTGGATGTCAGGGGTCGGCCAAGATGGTCAACAAATCGCAGCGATACAGTGGAGGCGCGCATCAAGAAACCCAAATCTTTTCGCCAGGGTAATCTGGTTTTCCTCGATCCGCGCGCTGCGCGGTGAGGTCCCGCGGCCATTAAGGAGCTGCTGGGTTCAGGGCGTTCCAGATTTCCCCTCAGGTGTACCTCGCATGCGGGTTTTCAGGGTTTGGATTTCTTGCGATGGTTTCTTGCGACTGCGCCCGCAATGTGGGTGGGTTCGTCAGCAAATCATGAGAATATTTACCATCTTGATTCCGTCTTTAGCATCGACTAGCGTCGATTAGCGTCTGGGAGTCGATGAGTTAGCGCCGATTTAGCGCCGGCTAGCGTCGATTAGCGCCGATTTAGTGTCGTTGAGTGTCGATTTAGAGTAGATTAGCGTCGATTCGCAAGAGCCGACAAGATGGGTATGGGAGGCTCCCATGAGTTGCCACCGAAGCTTCTTGCGATGGTCTCGTGTGACCGCGCCCGCACTGTAGGGGTCGGGCCGGACGAAAGGGGGGGATTGGGAAAGGGGGGGTTTCGAAATTTGCTGCATGCAGCTGGTTTCGGCCTCACCGATGGGCCCATTCCTCGACACATGGCCGCCTCCGGCGTGGGGAGGCGCCGGGAAAATCAGCCACGTGAGCTGATCCTCAAACCCCCCCTTTGCTATCCCCCCCTTTCGCCCGACCCGAAGGGGGGACACGCTCGGGGACGTGCTCGGGGGGGCAACGCATCGATCCCCCAGCCACCCCTCTCGTCGCCGATCGGGGCCGCCTGCAGCCCCCCCCCCCCACCCCACCCAGGGAAGAGCGTTACGGCGTGGACCCCTCTGGGGGCGCGTCGCCGACCTGTCGGCGAGTAGTCTGGCGCTGTGTACCGCCGAGCCCAGCTCAAGTCGGCCCCTCTACAGGAGGAATATTCAAAAATAGTAAAAATTATCCCAGTGCGACCCTACCTAGGAGTTGGAACCCCTAGGAAAGCAGCATTAGTAGTAACAGTAACGCTAAGCTAAAGCTAAGCCACAGCTAAGCCACAGCTAAGCTAAAGCTAAGCCAAAGCTAAGCTAAAGCTAAGCTAAAGCTAAGCTAAAGCTAAGCTAAAGCTGAGCAACAGCTAAGCTAAAGTTAAGCTACAGCTAAGCTAAAGATAAGCTAAAGCTAAGCTAAGGCTAAGCTAAAGCTAAGCTACAGTTAAGCTCAAGCTAAGCTAAAGCTAAGCTAAAGCTAAGCTAAACGCTAAGCGAAAAGCTAAGCGAAACGCTAAGCTAAAGCTAAGCTACAGCTAAGCTGAAGCTAAGCTAAAGTTAAGCTAAAGCTAAAGCGAAAGCTAAAGCTGAAGCTCCCAGGGGACTGGGGGGAACCGCTCCCAGGGGACTGGGGGAACCGCCCAGGGCGCTTTGCACTGCCCGGCCCCTTTAAGCTAAGAGAGTAAGAACCCTTCTAGGCAGAGCCTAGGTAGGGAATTATCCCAGTGCGACCCTACCTAGGAGTTGGAACCCCTAGGAAAGCAGCATTAGTAGTAACAGTAACGCTAAGCTAAAGCTAAGCTAAAGCTACGCCACAGCTAAGCTAAAGCTAAGCTAAAGCTAAGCTAAAGCTGAGCAACAGCTAAGCTACAGCTAAGCTACAGCTAAGCTACAGCTAAGCTACAGCTAAGCTAAAGCTAAGCTAAAGCTAAGCTCAAGCTAAGCTAAAGCTAAGCTAAAGCTAAGCTAAACGCTAAGCTAAACGCTAAGCGAAAAGCTAAGCGAAACGCTAAGCGAAACGCTAAGCTAAAGCTAAGCTACAGCTAAGCTAAAGCTAAAGCTAAAGCTAAAGCTCCCAGGGGACTGGGGGGAACCGCTCCCAGGGGACTGGGGGAACCGCCCGGGGCGCTTTGCACTGCCCGGCCCCTTTAAGCTAAGAGAGTAAGAACCCTTCTAGGCAGAGCCTAGGTAGGGAAATAGTCTGGGGACTATTTTTCCGTATTTTTTCGGGCAGGGGGGGGGTGCAGGGGATGCCTCTCGGGGAGGCACGGGCGTGGGGACGGAGGGATTTAGGGGCCGAAGACTGGCACGAGCTCCTGGCAGATTTGAAGAGGACTCGCTGTCTCCCCCTGATCGTTGTGTCCCCACCGCCAGGGCTTTTCAGCCCCAGGCAGGGGGGGGGTGCAGGGGATCCCTCGGGGAGACAGGAGTGGTGACGGAGAGCTTGGGGACGAAGACAGACACGTACTCCTCCTCCTCCTCCTCCTCCTCCTCCTCCTCCTCCTCCTCCTCCTCCTCCTCCTCCTCCTCCTCCTCTCCTCCTCCTCCTCCTCCTCCTCCTCCACCTCCTCTCCTCCTCCGCCTCCTCCGCCCCCCCCCCCGGAGCCGGTCTCCTCCGAGTCCTTGTGCCGTCGACCCCAGGCACGGGGGGGTGTAGGGGATGCCTCTCGGGGGGACACGGGCGTGGGGACGGAGGGATTTAGGGGCCGAAGACTGGCATGAGCTCCTGGCAGGTTTGAAGAGGACTTGCTGTCTCCCCCTAATCGTTGTGCCCCCACCGCCAGGGCTGTTCAGCCCCAGGCAGGGTGGGGGTGCAGGGGATCCCTCGGGGAGACAGGAGTGGGGACGGAGAGATTAGGGACGAAGACAGACAAGTACTCCTCCTCCTCGTCCTCCTCCTTCTCCTCCTCCTCCTCCTCCTCCTCCCCTCATTCCACCCCTCCCCCTCCTCCTCCTCCTCCTCCTCCTCCTCCTCCTCCTCCTCCTCCTCCTCCTCCTCCCCCTCCTCCTCCTCCTCCTCCTCCTTCTCCTCCTCCCCCTCGCGGTCGGTGTCGCCGTGGACGTGGTCTACGTGAGGCCATCAGGTCGCGTGCCCAGCAGCGGCCGTTGCCGATCTGCTGCACAGCATCTGCAGCTTTGCGTCGCACCCACTTTTGTACGCACTTCTGGCGTGCCAAACTTCCCCCCCCCCTTCCCATATCATCCCTCTAGATCCACGCTTCCTATCTCCTGATTTCCCTTCCCACCCCCCTTCCCAGCATCCTCGTCACGGAGTTGGGAGCAAGGGATTCCACCTCCTCCCCCTCCCCGCTTCCCCCCTCCCTCCTCCCCAGCCAGCATTCAAGAAGAAGGGTGCGGTGGGCGCAAGATTCCCCCCTCCCCTCGTTCCCTGTTTTCCCCCGCTAGAGGGGGACAGGGAACCCCTGCCGATTCCCCTAGATGTTCCCTCTGCCTCATCCTGTCCCCCCCTTCCTGAGAATCCACCTCCCTCTTCTTTGAAATCGGATCCACATTCTCTATGGTAGGTCGACGGTGGTGTCATGATCTGTGCGTGGAGTGCAGTGTAGCCCTCGCGAAGGGCAGCCGGTTGTTGCTCTTATGTCGCCATTGCAGTTTTGTCCTTGGATGTTCGATCCGTCGTTCTTTGTCTGTTCTTCTCTTGCTGGCCAGTGTCGCTCATCCTCCTCGTACAGCGACCGAGGTACAAGATCGAGGTCAGTTCAGGGTTCTTCGTGTTTGTTAGATGTTCTTGTACATCCTGGGGGAGGGTACCCTCGGTGACCTGATGGTTTGGGCTGTTTGGGCCAGCGGAGGGTCCCATGTCCTTGGAGGATGCCATTTTGTATTAGATCCGGCGGTACCGGTACACTGTAGGAGGTCCGCCCTGACTTCTTGGATCGGTGGTGGACCCCAGATCGCGCCAGGGGCGGCGCCGGAGGCGCCGCCAGGGGGACCAGCGCCGATCTAAGAAACCCGAGCGGAGCTCGGAAAGTTCATGTCCACGCAGTGTTTTATCATTCGAACGAGGCGTTTTTTAAATGTCTTCGCAAACAGGAGGAGGAGGAGGAGGAGGAGGAGGAGGAGGAGGAGGAGGAGGAGGAGGAGGAGGAGCGTGGAGGAGCGTGGAGAGGGCGAGGAGCGAGCAGCGTGGGGGAGGGGGAGGGAAGGGGGAGGAGGAGGAGAGGAGGAGGAGAGGAGGAGGAGGAGGAGGAGCAGGAGGGAGGAGGTGGAGGAGGAGGAGGAGGAGGAAAAGAAGGATGTTCTTCTGCCCTGGGTCTGGCCGCACTCGTCCTCTTCCCTCCCTGCCCGACCCCCCCCCCCCCCCCCCCCCCGTGGCTCTTCCCCTGAGCCAGCGCCTTGCCTGCTCTGCCCGCCGTCGCGCTCGCGGCCTGTGCCTTCCAAGGGCGCTCTGGCTTTTGATGCTCAGGCCACGGCCTGACAAGTCCCTGCCTCCCCCGCCCTGGGGCAGAGAGGGGAGGGGAGGAGGGGAGGGAGGGGGGGAGAAGGAGGGTGAGGAATGAGGAGGAGGAGGAGGAGGAGGAGGAGGAGGAGGAGGAGGAGGAGGAGGAGGAGGAGGGAGGAGGAGGAGGAGGAGGAGGAGGGAGGGGGGGAGGGAGGGAGGGAGGGGTGAGAGGATGGGAGGGGGAGGGGGGGAATGAGGAGGAGGAGGAGCAGCAGCAGGAGGAGGAGGAGCAGGGGTTGGAGGAGGAGCAGGAGAGAGGGGGCAATGGGGAGCCAGGGCTCCCTGCCCCCCCCTCCTTCCCTGCGAGCCCTCCTGCCCGCAAGGTCAACCTCCTGGTCCCGTCGGGGCAGTTCGGAACCCGGGCCCAGGGCGGGAAGGACGCGGCCAGTGCCAGGTACATCTACACCAGGAGGGGCCCTGGGGGGAGGCGAGGGTGCAGAATCAATGTCGATCCGATCGATCGGACTCGATATTTTGATATTCGAAATATTAATCTCAGTCGATCTCTCTCTCTCTCTCTCGGACTGATATATTGATATATCGATCGGCTCGACTCCGAAGCTCCAGCGATCCCATGCGTCACGAGGCTTGCATGGCGTGGTTGTGCATCCCAGCGCGGCCCGTCTCCGTTTGAGTCCGGCTCCGTGCCGATTCGGCCCGAGCCTGCGCACGTTCCGATCCGAACCGGATGCTCCAATTCGATGTTGACTCGGAGGACGCGTAACGAGGGGGCGAATTGACCCAGACTTCCTCGCGCTGTTTTTTATATAAAAATGTATTTTAAAAAGAAGGCTTTTCGCTATTTCCTGTTTCTAGGTGGCCCTTCCTGGGCCTCGGGGCAGTCAAAAAACGACTCGGGATGAGAAACCGGTCCCGGGGAAGGGGTCGGGCCTCTGAGGATCAGCGTTGCGAAACAAACGCGACGTCGGGGTTCCAGGCCAGGTAGTGGCGGGCGATGAACGCGGGGGGCAGCGAGGGCTGCCGAACAGGGGCCCCTGAAGGCGCCCAGAGGGGGGGCCTTTCGGGGCCCCGAAGAGCTTGGCATCGCTCGGGCGTGTGCACTTTTGTTCCTCGGCGAGAACCATCGAGGACCATCCTGGACCATCGAGCAAAAAAAGGGAGAGAAAAAAAAAAAAAAAAAAAAAAAAAAAAAAAAAAAAAAAAAAAAAAAAAAAAAAAAAAACGCACGAAACCTAAAACATGCACGGGACATGGACGCCCGAGCGGCGGCAAGAGAGAGAGCGAGGGGCCTGCGGGGCCCGAGCTGGGCACCTGTCTGTTTCCCCCCCTACCGATGATCGCCCCGCAGGACTTCGCGCCCGGCTCAGCGCTCCGTGCACGAAGGATTGCAAAAAAAACCGAAGGATTGCAAGAAGGATTTGCAATCCTGGGTTTTTTTGCAATCCTTCGTCCACGCTTCGGTCGGCTCGGCCGCGTCGCAGTCGCGTGCGCCTGGTCGGACCGGTGCGGTGCGGGCGTCGTTCGCGCCTCTGCGCGCTGCGTCGCTGCGCCACTTCCGGGCCGCAGTCCGAGTGGAGAAGACGAGGTGGCATCCGGGGGAGGGGGGGGGAGGAGGAGTTGGAGGAGGCGGATTTGGGGAGCGAGAGGGGGAGAAGGCGGAGGAGGAGGAGGGGGAGGAGGAGGAGGAGGAGGAGGAGAAGGAGGAGGAGGAGGAGGTGCTTTCATCAGGTGTCTGCTTGGATTCTGGCGTTTCTGCTCGAGGAGGTCAGTTCTTGGGGGAGGGAGGGTCGGTGGGCTGGAGCATGGTGAGGAAGGGACGAGGAACAAGGAGGAGTGACGAGGAAGAAAGCGCCAGAGGAGGAGAAGGAAGGAGGAGGAGGAGAAGGTGAAGGAGGAGGGGGAGGAACGAGGAGGAAGAAGAGGAATAATGATATGAAGGAGGAAAGAGCACAATAGGGGGAATTGGAATGGGAATGGGAACGAGTCATGGGCGGAGAATCCACCTGCCGCTGCAGCGGCGAAGAGCGGGCTAGTCGCCCTCCAGTGGCCAAAGTCCTTCAGCCTTGGCCTAACGCTTAGCCCGCCTGCATTCCCCAGCCCATTCGACCGCCGATCCGGGCGATCGAGAGTCTGAGTCGATTGCACGATCAGGATGGACCCAGAGCTTCCTCCACTCTTGCATCAGGACCTTCATGGCAGCATCACCAGCGACTGGGAGTCCGGGATCGCAATCGTCACCATCATGGGCAATCAGGGTCGACGGGGTCGGGTTGCCATCCTCGATGAAACGGTAGGCCTGTTGCCCTCCAGATTTGTTGGCGGCCTCCTGGGCCCAAGCACGCAATTGGGCACTACGCTTCTGGCGGCCTCTAGTCTGCAGGGTAGCCGCGTGGTCACTCATGTTGACGAGCAGCTCGTGGTCAACGTACAGGTCCAGCTCAACAAAGGCGTCGGCGACGGCGCCGTGGTCCCAGGCCGGCAGCGGGCCCTCCCTCGGCCAAGCCACGGCGCGGAAGTCGAACCCTCGTGGGATCCGAGTTCGGCGGTCAAAGCGGGCGTAACTCCTCCAGCCCGGGTCGACTTGGTGGCCCTTGAGGGCCGCCACCTTCCTACACGCCGCAGCGAAGCCAGACCACTTGCGCTGCTACGCGCTGGTGGTGGCCTTCAACGTCGTGGCCCCTTCCAGCACCAAGGGGAACAAAAATGTCTCGACCTGGAATCCCTGGTCCCTCGAGCCCTTGCTGCGCGATGGCCCGGCGAGCTGGTGGAGGCTGTCCAGGCAGTCCTCGACGATGGCGAAGCAGAGCTCGGTGGCGCCCTCCACACCACCCTGCGCAGACCCAAGCTCCCACAGCCAGCAGTCGCCTGCCAGCTCGGGCGGCACCGCCTGCGAGGGCGGCGGCAGGGCCAGCGGGTAGCAGCTGGGGTGGGCAGCCTTGGTGATGGTGGCTCTCTTGTGCAGGCCCGTCAGCTCGATGGTGGTCGGCGGGTGCGGAGCCAGCGGGCTTCGCCCAGCACGGCAACTGCACCTGCTCTGCTGGCCAGAGCTTCCGAGAGACGATGCCGAAATCGTACTCCATCCTGCCACGGGCGGTGCTCCACGGGCGGACGACCACCCCGGAAGCTTGCTCGGCCCAGCTGGCCAGGTCGTCGGGCTCGATGCTCCAGTCGGCCAGGATGACCCTCACCACCCACCAAACCACCCCAACCCAACCCGAAGGCTCAGATTTACCCTCGATTTCCAGTAGGGGGGGTGTCGGGAAACATCGAAAAAACACGTGTGGAACCCTTACCCCCCCCAACCCGAAATTCGGGTCTTCGGGTTGGGTTGGGGTGGTCTGGTAGGTAGTCAGACCCCGAGGGCCAGGCCAGGCTGCCCACCCAGCTCTGCAGGGACTCCAGCAGCTGGATGCTGTCGCCCGTGATCCCGATGCCGTCGACCAGGTCATCCGAGACCACGCAGATCGGGATGCCGCGCCCCGTGTTGAGCTAGACAAGTAGGCTGGGGCATGATAGGCATGCTCCCTCATCCGCATGATCCTCTTCCTTAGCTGCATCCTCCTCCTCAGTACTCCCGGTCACGTTGACACGCGCTGCCTTCTGCCCAGAGCCCTTTCTCGAGCGGCGGCCGTATTTGGTCCCACCTTCTCCTGACGTGCACGGCGCGTTTGCTTGCAAGCCTCCTTGGGTGCCAGCGCAACCGTTACTTTGTACCTAATGCCTTCCGTGGCGACTTCGTGGAGACTAGGCAGAGGGAAGGAGGAAGGAAGGAGTGATTGAGAAGGGGAGTGAATGAGTGAGCGGGTGAGGATCAGGCAGAGAATGAGGACAAGAGGTGCAAGAGGAGCCATGAAGACAAGGAGAAGGAAGACCAGGAGGAGCAACCATGTGATGGGAGGAAGCAGAGAGGGGGCAGCACGCGGACAGGCAGCAGCGGAGGGTTCCGGGGTGGGGGGAAGAGAAGCATAATCTGCATTTGGAGGGAAATGAGGGGATGTTGGGAGTGCCATGGTTACAGACATCACGCCATGAACGACATCGAGGCGCGCCGCACGTCGCAGTGCGAGACGGGCTAAATCAGAAAAACGGGCAGTCAGGTAGCGTCAGGAAGAGTTTTGCCACTGCCAACATGTAACACCACATCCACATGGCATGTTACCATTCGTAAGCTGGCACACTGCGCCACAAAGAACATCAGGTGCTGCACCGACTTGTCCATGATGCGATGACACATACACTGCATGGTGCTAGCTTGCATTACGTTGGAGGCGTTTGTTAAGGAATAGTCCCAGGAGACGCCAGACCCTGGAGGATTCCTTAGCCAATGAGGGCGGCGGTGATATCCATGGCCAGTCCACGATTGGAGTTCCACTGGCTTCCAGACCCTGGATTCCGTCTTCCTTATCCAATGCCCACACCGTAGTTGTTTCGTGCGATGCGCGGTCGCAATTGGTTCAACTTTCAATTGTTGTCGCTTTGTTTGCGCACGACGCTTGCCTGTAGTGCTACTGATGACGTTGAACGCCCAAGCGGGCAGGCTCAACCCATTGACGCGCCTGATCTTCTCCCATTTGGACGATCCGATCTTGGACTACCAGCTGGACGACGGCCAGAAGATCGAGCCCTACTGGTGCCCAATGTCCTGATTCGGCTTCGGATGCAAGAACAGAAGGATGAGGAGGAGGAGGAGAAGGAGGAGGAGGGCGAGGAGGAGGAGGGCGAGGAGGAGGAGGGCGAGGAGGAGGAGGGCGAGGAGGAGGGCGAGGAGGAGGAGGGCGAGGAGGAGGAGGAGGAGGAGGAGGAGGAGGAGGTGTGTGGTGTGAAGGCCTCACGGCTGGCACCGCCGACCCTGAATGGGTCTGAATGGGGAAGCAAGGGTCGTTTGGAGGGCGAGAGGAATCGAAGGGAAGAGCTTCTCCAGGGGAGTGGTGTTCCCCCGCGGGGAGGGGTTCACAACCCCCAGAACCCACACACACACACACACACACACACACACACACACACACACCTCCCCCCACCCCCCTCCCACCCCTCCCCTGACGCTTCCCTTCGACTCGCTTACGACGTGGCTCGATTTCTCTTTCACTGGGACGTACGGACAGGAACAGGGGGGTGCGGTGTCTACGACAACGACGGCGAGGACGCCGACTCAAACGGAAAAGCATCTCACACATCGGACGGGGTAAGGACGAAGATAAATCCGTTCATCCGTTCCAGAGCGTTCCAGAACATTCCCAGAGCCTTCTGGAAAGCTCTGAGAAGGCCACGGCGCCCGAGACATCTTCCAAAGCCGCCAGATCTCAGAGATTCTCGATTTATCCTTACCCGATTTTATCCTCGTCCTGGCTTCGTCTGACAGTCAACCCGCATAGAAAGGATGAGCGACTTTCCAAGGTTACCCTTGCATCCTTCTCCTTCGGCCCATCCTTGGCCGCTTTCCCTGGCCGGGCCCAGCCCGCAAGGTGTCCGCATGGCCTTCCAAGGCCCTTGCATCCTTGTCGCGCGTCCTTATCATACGGGCTGACTGTGTACTCACCCGATGTCACCTTCGTGATGGGCTTCCCAGATGCCCGACTTCGTGATTTGTTCACAACGTCGACCTCTAGAGGTCTGGACCCCTTCCCTGGGACCAGGGACGGTCCCGAGGCCCGGTAAGGGCCCTGGGAGGCCAGAAGTATCGAAAAACTTGTCGTCTCAATTTGTCCCAACCATCCTGTGGTGTAGGGTCCTCGTTTTGAAGAGACGTCGCCCCGCGTTCCTCTCCTCCTCTCCTCCTCCTCCTCCTCCTCCTCTTCCTCCTCCTCCTCCTCCTCCTCCTCCTCCTCCTCCCTCCTCCTCCCCCTTCTTCTCTCCTCCCGTCATCATCAACATCGTCATCATCATCATCATCATCATCATCATCATCATCATCATCATCATCATCATCATCATCATCATCGTCATCGTCATCATCATCATCATCATCATCAGCATCAGCATCAGCATCATCATCATCATCATCATCATCATCATCATCATCATCATCATCGATATCATCATCATCATCATCGTCATCATCATCACGACCGTCATCATCACCAGCATCATCACCCATGTCGGCACACCCCTCACACGTTTCGTGGCCCCATACGGAGCTCCACCGAAGGCCCCAGTGCCAC